CGGATTAGCGATTTAACGGACTTGCCCACCTATGGTGGTAGGCTTCGGGGCAGCGTTCTTTGATCCGGGCCAAGAGAGCGTCACGACGTACGCTGTTGAAGGCATTTGAAACGTCTATCTTGACTAGAACTTGGGGAGCGGCTGTCTTCTGGCTCATTTCGATGAACTGGCGTGTGGCGTGGACCGCCGCCTCACAGCCCGAGGGTGTTCCCACGCCCAGCTGAATGGGACGGAGTTCAGCTCCCAGACTAGACGCCATGTGCCGGGCGGCCATGCGAGATGATAGGCGCCGGTACACACTTCCGACCGCTATAGGCCGCAGTCCACCGCCTTTTTTCGTCAGTGCGCAGAGAGAGGCACAGAAGAGCGCGTCTCTACCATACTCGAGGACCTGACGTTCGCTAGCGCCGTCAGGGAGCGCAGGAGACGACGGCCACTCTCCGCCGCTTCTCTGGAGATAAGCTGTCGTAGGTGGCTGCCGTAAAATGGTGGTGTCGTAGCTGCCGAAAAATGGCTGAGAAGTTAGTGTGGCCGTCTTACCCCACTTTCTCCTGATTATACTATAGATATACGAAAAAGTGCAAAGTTTGAGGTCCTACTTTTCAGCATGACCTTGACCTTGATTGTTGAGCACATCATCGGAATTCTCAGCTTCTCTTCTTGTGTTTCACAACAATTTTAGCCGGCTTTATGCATCCTGCCGTCCTCTAGAACACTTTCGTCGAGATCACTACACATGTGCCGGTTTTTGCTTTGACCTTGACCTCTGACCTTGAAAATCGAACTGAGGTCAAATATTTTAGGTGCTTTAAAAACGTCTCGTAAAGGCCTTTGGTTCCACTTTTGGAGCAAAAGTGGTTTTGGTTCCACTTTTGTTTCCTACCTCCCTTATTTACGGATTTAATTTTAGACAGCGGAGAGAAAAAACGCCCTCCCCCAGGCTGCGGTGGTTGGGATTTCTCCACGGGCCCAGCCGGGGTAATGAATAGAGGGAAGAGGTCTCGTGTGGACAACTCGGCAATATTTTTTATAACAGCCTCTAGACTTATTGATAAATACAGGTAGATTATTGTCATGCTGGTAACTAACCACTTGCCTGCACTTGGCGGAGCCTCTAGGGGGGACGTAGGTAGCCCCGAAACTAAGCAACGTTGCGACACGCGCGAGGCGGCTTTCGAAAGGTCTCACCGGGACACATCAGACGCGATCCTAAAATTTGCATTTTGAGGCCACGTGACTAACGAAGGTCAGGTCAAAGGTCAAATTTGAAAAAGGAAACATTTGAACATATTCACGTTTAGCGCTCTAGCAAACGCAGTGTTGAAGGTATCGATACTCGTTTTGACTTAACCCTCGCCCTGGCAGGGCATTTTTCATAACACGGCCTGGCAGGGGGGGGGGGGGTCGATGCGACCCCCCCTCGCGATTGGCTCCTATGGCACCTAGAAACACCAAATTTGGTAGGTAGGTGGGCCCCCTGGAGTTCTCGCCCCTGTGCAAATTTGGTTGCACTAGGTCAATATTTAGGGGGGTTTTGGGGGGTATAAATGTAAAAATTTCGCTAAAAACAGGTCAAAAGTTTTTCGCTTATAACTTTTGATCTAATTAAGATAGAGCAAAAAGAAAAGCACCAGTGAACTCAGCACGTCAAGGCGCGTCGAATGATATACTTTTTAACGTGCTTAAGTGTACTTAAAGTTTTTCTTAAATTTTAAGCAAACTTAAATTAATAAATTAAGTTCAAGTTAACCAAATTGCATCATATCGCATATCATTCGATTCGGCTGATCACCAGGAACACAATGATACCATTTTTTAAGCTCTAGCGTCATTATGTGCCAAGTTATTGGCAAAAACGTCATTTGACCTCAGTTGACCTCATTTGACCTGACCCATGGATAAGTACACCAAACAAAGAAGCACAAAGTGACCTGCTGATAAGTACCGTGGTTTCAAAGCACAAAAGTGATGGAACGAAGCGGATATCTCCAGTATTTTCCGAATTTAGTATTTTCCCATAGGCTTAACATTACGACGTAATGACCTCTAAGTGACCTCAGGTCAGTGACCTCAAAAAACCCGAACTATATGTTATACAACTCGGTGAACTTAGCACATCCTGAAAGTTTGAAGGAAATCAGTCCAAAACTGTGCGTTGGACAGGTGCAAAAAGAAAATTGAAATTTTACCATGACCTTGTACCGGTTTTTCTGACCTGGTGACCTGACCCTAGGTCACTCGGACCTGAAATTTGCAGGTCATATGTAAAAAGGTTGCCCCATAGGCTGTGCCAAATTTGGCCGCGCTGCGCGCCGCCGTTTTTACGCTATCTTCGAAAAACCTGAGGGGGGGGGGTCGCATCGACCCCCCCCCCCTGCCAGGGCGAGGGTTAATTAGGTACAAAAGAGGTCGATGTATACCTATTCCAAAAGTGCTGAACTCACAACAGGTTTTTCTTTAGGTTCAGGTCAGGTCAAAAAAGGTCTCTGATTTTAAAAGTACCTATACCTATAACTGCATCAGTTGTAATTGCGAGGCGGCGCAGTCGCCGTCGGGGGCCAGCGTCCCACGTGTGGCAAGCGACTGTGGGGGCCGCAGAGCAGAGGCGGATCCAGCTCAGAGTTTGGGGGGGGGGGCAAACCATAACAATTTATCGATCCTTTCCATGCCTCGTCCATAGGCGTAATGTTAAAATTATGCCGTTGGGGGGGGGGGGGCAAATGCCCATTTTGCCCGCCCTGGATCCGCCACTGCCGCAGAGAGCTGAGTGTCCCACTGCTATAGTGTCTCACAGCTTTTACTCAGCTGTGAGTAAAAGCTATAGTTGTCTGGCTTACTCAGCTATAGTTGTCTCTCAGCTTTTACCAGTGTAAGCCACAAGCTGCTTTTACACAAGCTGGAGCACTCTTAACATATCGGGTCTTGCACTTGGCTGGGTTGAGTCTTACCTTAGCCAGCGGTCCCAGCGTGTAGTGCTGGATGGAAAACACTCTGACTGGACTCCGGTCATCTCCGGAGTGCCGGAGGGCAGCATCTTGGGCCCCCTGCTCTTCACCTGCTTTGTCGCTGACCTCCCTAAACACATCGGGTCATCCTGCTTGTCATACGCTGACGACGTCAAAATTTTTCACCGTGTGTCCTCTCCTGAGGATGCCCACGCCCTTCAGGCTGACTTGGACCGTCTCAGCCGGTGGTCAAGGACCTGGCACCTGAAGCTCAACCCGGCCAAGTGCAGGACCATCACCTTCACTCTGCGCTCATCACCTCATGTCGCTTCATACGCGCTCGACGGTCACCAGCTCGAAAGGTGTGTTAGCGTGCGTGACCTTGGTATCATCTTAGATAGCAAGCTTAACTTCGCAGACCATGTTGACGCTATAGTCTCGAAGTCGAACCGCATGCTGGGCTTGCTGATGAGGAGCATGCAGGTCTCGACACGGGTGCATCGAGCGCAGTTCGACTGTGTCGCAGCCCTCACCGCCTACAAGGCGCACGTGCGTTCCGTAATGGAATACGGCTGTGTTATCTGGTCGGGTGCCGCTGTCACCCACCTGCGCCGATTAGAGCGACTACAGCACCGTTTTCTCATGTGGCTGGGCGCCCGGACACAGGCGAGGTGCCCTTCACTTGACTATGCATCGCTGCTTAAACTGTTCGGCTGCGAATCAGTGAGGTCACGATTCACACAGTGTGACATCAACTACATGCGCTCCGTGTTCAGTGGTCGCTTGGACTGTCCCGACATCTTGGCCATGTTTTCTCTATCGGCACCCGGCCGTCGCACGCGCCGTCCCGAGCTCTTTCATGTGCCGCGCGGAAGAGTGGACACTGTGAAGCGAGGATTTCTGATTCGTCTTCCCCAGCACGTGAACTCGCTTGTCCACAGCAGCCCCGAGGCCGATTTCTTTATGCCTAGCTGCAGGCTAAGGTCGGAGATAGCCAAATTTGCTGACGAGCAGGGAACATACTTAGCCTAAGGTCATTGATATAGCTCCTCGTGTAGCAACTAGCCGTTACCGGTTTTATTCTCATTGTCACTGTCTACGCTCATTTTTCGTCTTTTTTGTCTTTTTATTTCATCCACTGTCATTCTTGCTTATACCTACACTCTTTTAGGATTTCAGGCTATTGTCTGTGCTGATTACTTTTAGGGGATTTCTCATGTCAGTATACTTTTAGCCTCGCTCATTAGCCAGGTGCCTATACTTGTATATTCTCTTAGGCTTTTGCTCATGTCTTCTGTATTCTTAGGCTGTTGCCTGTCGGTTTACTTTTAGGCTCTTGCCATCCTGTTAATTTATTTGGATTTTGATCAGTGTTATCACTCATATTTATTTCCATCCAGTGTGTGTGAGTGGTTGTTATTGTCAGTGTGCGACTGCATCCGTAAGTGGGGCTTTGCCTGTGGACGCTATGCCAATAAATAAACAAATAAACAAATAAACAGTCGCTTCAGTGTAAATGGAATGCAGATATAGCGTTGAAAAGATGCAGTGTGCCCCACTCAGTGCGTTTGCTCAAGCAGCGGGCGGAGTGAGTGCATGCCCTCATTACAGATGCATTTGGTTTTCCTGTTTATTGATCGGACCAATGATCATTTTGAATTAGGAAGTATTGCGGGAAAAGGGTAAAAAATGGAGTATAGCAAAGAAGCAGCACCTTCCCCGTCCTCGCCGGCCGAGAAGGGGGGGGGGAGGCGGGTGCCGCTCCCCATGCGGTTTTTTCGCGAACACGCCGGCGATAGCGCATAACACGACGCTATCAATAAATGCGAATGGACTTATGGGATAAGTACACACTAACAGACAATAAAGCTTTCGTAATGGTATCTTGATAACTAGAAACTTTTCTAATGTCACCGGTGCACATCTTCTTCAGTGCAGCGCTCGTCTGCCCGATCGGTTAGACCGCAGATAGTGATGAGAGTGGGTGGTAACAGAGCTGATAATAGCCAGATAAACCGTACCTACTGGCGAGAGAGTACGGGTATATAGGGCCTTGCGGGATCAGAAGCCTCCCAGCTCCACCATGAGGTGCTAGTGGACGATTCTGATGGGCTCAGCCTAACAACGAAGAGACAGCTGAGTTTTATAAGAAGATAGTCTTCAACGGTTCGTACTAGACAAACGGAACAACATTCAAGTGACCATTGGGAAATCGTGTGGACAACCTCCGTCAAGACCAGCCATGCTTTTTCTGACGCTGGCACTGTTGGCGGTAGCTTCGCTGGCCGCCTGCGAGACCGGCGACTCCTACCAGGTGGTTTGGAACGTACCCTCCCACACGTGCGCCAGGTACAACGTGACCATCGACCCGGCGCAGTACGGCTTCATAGTCAACTCGGACGGCGCGTTCCGGGGGGACCGAATCGTTATCTTCTTCTACAACCCCGGCCTGTACCCTCAGATCCTCTCCAACGGCACCCGGGTGAACGGCGGGCTTCCGCAGCTGGGCGACCTGCGACTTCACCTGGACGCCTTCGCTGCCGATGTGGACCGCTTCATCCCAGACGTCAACTTCAGTGGTTTGGCCGTGATCGACTTCGAAGAGTGGACGCCGTGGTTCACCGAGTCTCCTATTAAGTACCGGCTCGCGTCACGCGAGGTGGTGCGAGAAGAACACCCCGACTGGCCAGAAGACAGAAACAAAGAGCAGGCCCGAGAAGACTGGGAGTGGTGGGCGCGTCTCTTCATCGAGCAGACCCTCAAGGCGGCGGAGAGGGCGCGTCCAGCCGCGCTCTGGGGGTATTATCAGTATCCCCTGTGCAAGAACCTTGATACTGTGAACAACACGTGTAAAGAAAACGTCATGGAACGCAACGACCAGATGTCATGGCTGCTGGGAGGAAGCAATGCGCTGTATCCTTCCATTTACCTCTTCCTAAACAACCTGACCAACGATAACCGTCTAACGATGGTGGACGAGCGGCTCGCCGAGGCGCAGCGCCACGCCGAGGGTCTTCCAGTTCTTCCGTACACATGGTTCAAGTACAAAGACGACGAGAGCTACCTCTCCGACGAAGACCTCACCACGATGCTCGGCGAGCCGGCCGTACATGGCTCGCCCGGTTCAATCATGTGGGGCTCGTCCGCCAACTGTAATACAACCGCCCAGTGCGTACGTCTGGAGGAGTACCTGCGCGACCATCTCGGGCCAATAGTACAGACCCTGGTGGAGATGACCCCTGCCGAGCGAGATGCCTGGCGGCAGCTGTTGAAGCAGCCGGAGGGAAGACAGCTGCTGCATCTCGCCATCAAGCAGCGTTCTCAAGAGCGCACCGACTCGCAGAAAAAGAAGGGCGTGTCGCTGGTAACCGAGATGGAGCTGTTGAAGGGAGCAGCAGACGCGCCCTCCCGCGGCACAGGCGATGAGGTGAACCATTCCATTGGCGAAGAGAAAGAGCCCCACGAAGGCGTCAGAGCGAGCAAGTGGAGCAGCCAGCAACTGCAGAAGATGCGCGAATGGCAGGCCTCGTTGGATCAACAGTTGTGGGAGATCAAGCGAACCGAGGAACCTTAGTAACACAGCACTAGGTACCTATTAAACGGTAGGCGCGGTGTGATGTGATGTAATATGTGATGTAATGTAGCCCACTAATGAAATCAATACATGTATGTGTATAGAACTTAAATAAGGGTTTGTTTATGTCTCATCCGCGTTTGCTTACCTATATCTCTGATCATGTCGCTAACAGCCAACTGCCAAGGCAGTACACGCCACATAGTAATTCAACCCAGCTTCAGCCCGGATTCAGCTCAGATTTAGAACACCTCAGATCGACTTGACATGCGCAGCAAAGACAATGTCGTTGACAATTTGGGACCCAAGCCATTCAGCAGCACTCCTAGCCGTTTGACCAAGAGAGGTCAAGAAAGGTCACGGCTCCCAAATTCGCACAGCAGATTGTGACCCACAGACCAGAGCTAAAGCGCTGAAAATGGCGCGAATCGAGTCAATATGACCTGTAGCTACTTTATCACCATTAATTTCATCCATTGAGGTCACCCGATGACCTTAGGTCCTAGGCGAGTGAGGCAAAAACAAAAACAAATACGCACAACTTCTTGAAAATAAATACGGGTAGAAATCACTGCGATTTAACCCGCGCCCACTGGGGTCTGCGTATAACACGCCCTACTGGGGGGGGGGGGGGGGGGGCTCTCCATAACTCCTAACTCCGAAACTACTGGGCCGATCGTCAAAATTCGAACGGCGTCTGATAGCCCCGGAAAAACTGTCAAGCGAAACCTAATTTCATTGACCTCGAGGTCACCGATGACGTCACAGGTCAGGTCAAAGTAACAATTATTAGCATTTTGGCTTGTTCACATTTTGGGCTCTGGCCGCCTTCTTGCAAGTCAGATCAGGCTCATTTTTTGGTTTCCACACTCGTGGACAGATGCTCTAGATATCTTGAGGGTACCAAACTTGTACTTTGATTTTCAGGTCACGGTCAGGTCAGGTCATCAAAGGTCACGGAAATATTATATCATGCGTCGGTCACGTGACACATGTTTTATGGTCCATTTAGGCCATAAATTTCCAATTTGATGTCGTCTGTGTCATTCGAGGTCATTTTGAGTCGAATTTAGCTTAGGTCATGTCACTTTCAGGTCAAAAAAGGTCAAATTTTGAAGTTTAAATTTTTCAACAAAAAGGTGTCTATTGGATGCAGTTTGAGCTCAGGAACACGAGTCACGATGGTGCTATTTATATTGGTGTACGATGTCAAATACGTACTGAAAAATTGATTTGAAAAATTAATAATTGTGAATTTTTTGCAATAATGCGTATAACTTGGCCATTTTTTGAAGATATTTAGCTTAAACTTGCTAGAGTTAATCATAAGCATGCGTTCTGTCACATATATTCCGTTTTTTTTCTCGAAAAGTCAAAAACTTTTTGAAAAAATATAAAAATATAAATTTTAAATATTTTTATATAAAATTTTCGAAATTTTCTAAATTTTGAAAATCCGAGATAGCAGTTTGATAGCGCAGTCAATTCTGAGTCCTTTCATGCAAAGACATTAGATCTAGCAAACTGAGCTCTTGGGAGCGATTGCCGTGGTTCAATGTTTTGCGTCGAAATCGGCCGAACATGACGTCACTCTGACGTCATTTCCGGCCGACCTATGGTAGCTACGAAGTTCAACTTTTGACACGAGGTGTCAAATTGATGCAGCCGAAGGTACTGAAAATTTGGCGTCGATACGTCAAGCGGTTTGGAAGTTATTGCAGAAAAATGGGAGGGGGCTATGAATAGCCCCCCACCCCCCAGTGTGGCGCGGGTAAATGTCATCCCTTGAGGTCACCCGATGACCTAAGGTCCTAAGCGAGTAGAAAAAAAAAACGATTATTACGTATCACTTCTTGAAAATACCTATGGGTAGAAATCACATCATTCGATAGCTCATAGACCGTAGTGCCTTCCATGAAAACCGCAAGTGAATAAGTGACCTCGTTTGACCTGATACGTTTCACACCATGCCGCCACTAGACGATTATAACGAGAGACATGCCGGGTTAAATGATAGCTGCCATTGGTAACACCTCATAGACATCAGGATAACACAGCAACGTGCAATCAGAGCATGAGGACAGCTATGATATGCATTGATATCGATAACGTGACAGTCGAAACAAAACGTGATTCTAAAATAAACACGCCGAATCGCTATTCGCTAGATTTGCGTATTGTTGTTGGAATGCGGAATAGTGTAGTTATTGTGACCCTCGGTTGGAATTCTGGCTTTTGCATACCAATCAATCATGGGCGGCTATTGCAGTAAAGTAACCGGTAACGCGTGATATATGTACGTCCAAAACAAGTCACACATTACAGCGGTAATATATTTACGCACATCGAGCCAATGAGACACAGTTTCAAAATATACGTCAGCTCGTTGGCCTAAGCGACCACAAACGGCCACTGAGGACACTCTTTCGGCTGAATATCGACCGTTCATAATTAGCAAGAAGGCAATATGCTAAATAGTTAGTTTATCGTTTTCAGCAGGGTTAGCGTAGCTATTGACCCCGTTTCCATGGGCATCACTGATCCGGATCAGCGAACTTAAATCCTATTATATTTCTCGAATTATTCGTTACAAGATATAATTCAAAGTGGATTAGGCTTATATAACCAGTTAATCCCTTATTTTCATTTTCATATACTGTTTAACTATACTGGATTAGCTAATCCATTTTAACTGATCCGGATCAGTGTGCCCATGGAAACGTGGTCAATGACTCTGCAACAAAAAACATCGGGCTCAAACGTTGACTGACCGACTTTATAAAAAGTAAAACATTCAATACATGTGTACGAAAAAAGGGCAAATGTTTGGACGAATTAATCCTGACTATGAGATGTTGAAGCAAAATAAATCGGCAGCTTCGAAGAACAACATTCCAGTTCTACACATTATGGATATAAAAACGAGGAAATCGTTTTCTCAAAATGATTTAGGGGCGAGCCATGTGGACTATCCTAATAACGTAAATCTTAACATCACTAGACTCCAAGTAATGATTCTTCATCAGATTTTGGCCACTTATTTCTTCCTTCTCGTTAACGGCTTACTACAAAGGACATGTCATGGTGTTCCCAACTATCGATCCTCCTATTCTTAGAAATAAAAATATCAAGACGATTAACTAAAATAAAAATAACTTCTTTAATAATTCCACCGAGTTCCTCTTTTGAAACTGACTTTTTACACTATTATATGCATGTAGCTAACATGACATGAGCCACAAGGGCTTGTACCCACCTACGATCAATTACTTACAATCGCTATATCCAAAATTGTTGCAAGTAGCCAGTTCACTCAAACATCCAAAGGCTTTCAAAACATCATTGACCTTTATGTCAATTTGAAGGATAAAATACAGCAATAATCGCAAAGAACTTGCTTTTGATTTCCGAGCGCCATGGTTCATTTCCATTACACGAGCTAAGGCTGTTTCGTCAGAAAGTGTGAATTAGCCTGACATTTGATATCGTGTAACCTTGCCTCGGACAAGACCTGTTGACTGATAGTGGAGAGTGAGTGGTGCGCTTACTGATCGTACTTCATGGTGAAGAGGTTTGTCTGTTACCTGGTACTTTCGCACAGCGACTGTTCGAAAAGAGAGCATAGGACACTCTTGTCGGCATAATCTGCCTACTCGAGACAAAATCAATAACATTGAAGAGGAGATCATGGAGACTCGCCAAAAAGCATATAAATCGACACCGAGGCTAGGACGTGAAGGCTGCCGACATATTCTATATTGACATTCCTCTTGTCCTTAAGTGCATACTAAGCGCATTCCCATACGTATTTCATCAGTTCTCTCAAATCAAAATGAACGTTAGGTATCCATGTTGGCTGGTGACTGTTCTGAGCTGAGTTCTTCAGGTCGCTGCTGCTGCCTCTGAAGCGCTTCCACACACCACCCACCACAAAAAGAACACAGGTCTCCTACCTTAAAATATCCACTTTTGTCTGACTGTGTAGCACAAAACAACGACCGACGGCTTCGTACCGCGAGCCGAGGGCAGCAAAACGACGGCTGTAGCTGGCCTAAAGCTCTGGCACAACGCATGACTGCATAGCTGGCGACGCCATTCTTCCCTCTCAGAGCTGGCGAAGTCTCTCCGTCTAGTTGAACTGTTGGAGAACGTTTTTCACCCTGAAACAGCGCACAATTGGATCAGCACTTATGCCGCATTTCTGCGGTGTTGTAGCATATGCAAGTTGCAAGTGGTGGCATATGTTACTAGGCGCTCATGCCGTGTGATGTGTGCTGACTGCTGAGTGCTGACTGAGAGAAACTGTTAACAGGTATGTTTATCCTAAAAAAGCAAATGACACTCAGAAGAATTTCTAATCATACACCTGTTGTTATCCGGTATCCCTACACCTTCGTGTGCTAGCTTTTTCGGACGCACCAGCTAACCCCAATACGGCAATATCCATCCCGCTGAAATGCTCAGGCATATCCAGCCGACTGGCGCTGGACTGCCCCACGTCCCCAGCTGAGCTCGCGGTAGTGCCTCACCTCTCACAGAGCAGAGGGTCATCAGCAGCCTGCAGCTGGTGGAGCAGTTTGTGCACGCCGAGCCGGCGCAGACGGGTCTGTCGCTCCCGACATCCGCCGTCACCGCGCCACACCAGGTTGTTGACGGCCAGGACGGCGGCCAGTTTCAGACGCAGGCTGGAGTGCATCTGGGGAGCGGTACGGCGCCGGTCACGGTCTGGTCAGGGAGGGTAGCTACTGGTCGGCTGCCGCGTAACTGGTCGGTGAACCGGAGAGAGGGTCACCCTCGCCAGTGGTCACTGGTGCTGACCAGAAATCACTTGCCAATAACGAGACGTCACTTGTACAATAACGAGGGGTCACTGGTGGCTGACCATTGACCAATGGCCGGTACCTACTAGGTAGTCAATGCTGATTCGACGACATCATTATAAAATGTTTCCTAATTATTCAACGTAAGTCTGCTTGCTTATAAAATAAATGGCAAGAAAAAATCAATCCAGACCATGAAAATTTCATATAACTTCGACAAGTGTTTCACATATCCGACGCCCAGTGTATTCGTGGCCTGAAGCCCGTGTAGCCAGCGCTCACCATGTAGTTCATCAGCTTCTTCAGCACGTCCTCATTGCTGAGGATGAACTCCCTGGAGCTGGAGCCGTCGGCGATGTTGGCCAGAATGCAGAGCGCCTGCTCCTTCAGCTCGGCCGGGTGGTCGCCCTCCAGCGTCAGGACAATCGCCTGGCGAGCCAACGGTGCCAGAGGATGATGAGAAAATCTACAGACAACAGGTCCTACCACAAGTCTACCGTATAACAGTGTTATATGGTAGACTTGTGCCTTGTGGTAGGGTCTCGGAATTTTGCTAGGAGTATTGCCACATAGTCCAAATCAGCGAGTTTTGATTCCTCGGCTCGTTTGTTGTCCCCCAACAAAGATCACAACTACGCTCAGTATGCTCCTGCAATAACCAAGCCGGATAAGAAAAGCGTGATTTGCAGATTTTCCTTTTACGACAAATCTAATAACGCAAAAGTTACTGAAACATTTCCTCAACCAAGAGCATACTACTTGACCATTCGTCAATGTCTTCGCCGTCTGGGGTGTCAGCGAAAACAGCCCTAATCTAAGGTCAAACTGCAATATGTTATGTACCAGCATGAACTGAATTGCCAACTTAGTAAAATGGGTGGCACATCCGATACAGTCCAGAAAATTCACCACATATCAGTGAGTGGTGGACTTTGCCTTCTCCATTTTATAGCACACCTGTATTTGAGATCCCCAAGAACCATATATCACGCGCCTGCATCAACAGTATAAAGGCCTTGTGAATCACGCCCCTGTATCACTTGGACCCTTGAGTTGGTATCACGTACCTGCATCACCTGCGGCCCCTGAGTCTCGTCCATGAACTGGTCGACGTGCGGCCGGGTCAGTAGGTTACGCAGCAGGCCCAGTGTCTTCATCAGCACGGCCGGGCTCGGGTCGGATAGCAGCCGAAACAGCTCGCTGGCGCCCAGTCGGCGCAGCACGGCCCGCTTGGCCCGCTGGTCCGCCTGGTAGGCTAGGTTCTGAGGGCGCAACATAACGGCGGCTGAGCCGCGACACAGCACACCGCACCGCACCGCCCAGCGGATACAACAAAGAGTGCCAGGAGCTTTTTTAATTCGGTCTATTCCATTCCTAGTCGCTTCCCACCGTTCACTCAATGGCAGCGTCCGTTCGCTCACCATCATTCCCCGTTCACTCATCGGCATCGACCTACATATTTATTATTCAGTCCCCGTTCACCCCCCACCCGTTCTCCGTTCGTTCCCTTCCCATTCGCTCTCCGTCCGTTCCCGTTCGCTTACCATCAGTCCCCAGATGCCGTTCAGTCGGATGTCGGGGTCCTCGCTGCGGGTCAGCTCACAGAGCAGGTCCACGCCACCGCTCTGCATCAGCGGTTCCTGCCAAAAGTCCGCTATGTAGTCAGCGGTTCCTGCCAACAGTCTGCTCTGCTGTCAGCGGTTCCTGCCAACAAGTGTCACCAGTTCTTGCCAACAGTCCGCTTGGTAGTCAGCGGTTCCTGCAAACAGTATATTGTGTGGTCAGCGGTTCCTGCGACAGTTCACTGTGCAGTCAGCGGTTCCTACCAACAGTCCACTTTTCAGTTAGCAGCCGTCCCAGCTTAATAGAGTTCCGTGCGAACGTGGCATATTTTTAGACTTATTGTGCCGCTCCTGTGTGCTGTACGATCTATCTTTTCGCAAGATCTCAGTGCTTCCGGTGACGCATAAAACGGACAATGACAAAAACAGATATAAATCAAGGTGCACGAGCTTGCAAATAAACATCCGCAGGAGAACAACAAACTGAAGCTGTGCAAAATATGAAAAGCATCACTGAACAACAAACGAACGCATAGTTTAAATGGAATAGGCTGACGAAATGTAAATGCATTAGGTTTATCAAAATAATAGACAGGCGTTCCCAGTTCCCACCCAGTTTATCAGTTAGACACATTGATATCTGTTTCCTACTGATAGGACAATATATTCATCGTAGTGCACATAAAATACATCTCATTGAGCAATTTAACAGCATATAAGAGCCCTCAACACCCCCCCCCCCCGCATTCCTGCAACAGCTTACCTTTGAGGGTGAGAACTCGAGGAGCAGGTTACAGAGCGTAGACGAGGCCACCACCCGCACTTCAGCGGGAGCCGCCCTGTTCTTGGCAATGTTGAGCACCTGCTCCCAGACGGCATGATCCTGCCGGTGCCGAACGAATGGATGGATTCAGCGCCAGGCAGGTCAGACAGGGCAGAGGGCGAGGGTCAGAGGAGCTGTGGATGGGCGTGTAATGGCGGGGCGTCGGTGAGCGGGACAGTGAAGTGTGTTATGACAGGCAGCATGTGAAGTTGACCCACAGCTAAAATCTTAAGATCAACGAGAAATGGGAAAAGCAGGAAAAATACATTTCCTGTGAGTATTTCCCGAGTTCCTGACTGTGTAAGTGAATCTCCACGGCAAGTCCTGAAATGCAAGTTCTCTCATCATCACAACTGAATCACCATGGTGCGACACCTTAAAAACAAGTTTTCCCATAATCCCCAGACCACCATTTCTGACCTCCAGCAGCGCCCGACCGAACGCCGCTGGCGCTGAGTGCTGATACCCTTACCGTACCAGAGAGGGAACCACAGTTCAGCAGCCTACCTGCATGGCAGTACGGAGCGTCTGCACTGAGCGGGAGAGCGACAGCAGACAGCGGAGAGCAGCCAGCTGCAGGCTCGGACAGTCGCCCTCCACGGCCGCCACCAGGTCCGACATCAGGCCGGCGCTCTCCACGATACGCTTACGAATCTCCTCGTCGTTGGAGGCCAGAGAGGCGAACACCTGTCAGTGAGAATACAGCGTCAGATGTGTACACCAACGCCAATTGCAGGGCTTCACTCTCCTTCACACAGGTCGTAATGGACGGACATTCTTAAGAGTAGGTGGAATCGTACCGCTAGCGAAGCTTCTCACTCAAAGCAAAAAGCGTTCAACCTAAAAGGTTTAAGAGTCAAGAAATTCATGATTTAAGAAAGCGACAGCGTTAAGACAAGTTTCAGCAGCCAGCGCAGCTGTCCAATGCAAATAAAGTCAACGTCTTTCGGATAGCTGGAAGACGAACATAGTTTATCCACCTCAAAAAAAGTTACAAACTATGAAATCAGGAACCACGCAGACTAGTCGGCAGGTCACTGAGACGACTCACGCGGAAAGCCGCCTTTTTCATCTCTCCGGCCATGCGCCGCTGGTGGCAGCGTGTGTTCGGGTGTGAGGTGGTCGGCTTGTAGCGCAGGTACTCGACCATCGTGGCAGTCACGTGATCCGTGATGGCGCAGATTCGCTGCAGCTCTGAAACAAGCACGTGACCCGACGGACTGGTCAGCTGACCTACGCACGGCGACGCTACAAGCGAGGGTGTGAGATTTAGAGTCGATTACAAATATTGAAAATGGCAATCTATATCACAATAATATGTAGTAACAAGATGAGCGTGTCAATACTCTATTTACTATCATGTAGGTACCCGAATATGACAGGAATGAGGTTGTATCATGATCAAAGAAGCTCACAGCTATAATTAAGACGTCATCGTAAGTAAACGCCTCAAATATATCACCAGATTCTTACCCAGATCGGTTTTCGGTGAGGTAGCCGAGCGTGTCGGCGGCCAGCACGCGTTCCTCCAGCGTCTGATGAGCGGCGCACATTCGCACCAGGCAGGGTAGGGCGCGGTAGACGAGGCGCGGGTCGCCGGCGGGGAGCGAGGCGGCGCCGGCGCGGTGCATGTAGCACAGACACCGCGCCGCCTCCAGCTGCACTCCGCTCGGCTGGTCGCGGGCCGTGAGCAGAGTGAGCACGTCCGGCACCGGCCGGCCGGCCAGTGTACACCGCGCCACCCTCTCCGAGATGGCCCGATGTCGGTAGCAGAGTGAGGCCAGCAGGCGCAGACTGGGCAGACGGACAGCGGCCGCCTCTGAGGCCAGCAGCGCGGCCGATACGTCCACGGCGCCGCTGGCGGCCAGCAGCTCCTGGCGCGCGGCGCCGCGGCACAGCAGCGCCAGCACGGTGGCCGTGCACTCGTCGTCGCGCGCGGCGCCCGTCACACAGCGCGTCAGCAGCGGCACCGCCGACGGGTCGCGGCACAGCTCGTCGGCGCTGTCCGGCAGCTGCAGCAGCAGCGAGCGGAGACAGCGCAGCAGCGGGGTGCGCAGCTGCGGCACGCCGGCGCGCAGGCCGTCCACCAGCAGCGGCAGCACGCCGGCAGACACCAGCGCCTGCGCGTGCTCCCGCGTACCCTTGGCCAGAGAGCCGAGCGTCACCAGAATCTCGACCTGCACCTGCGGGCGTCCAAGACGTCAGACCGCAACACAATCAAATAACTATCAACGACCGGACCAGCACAGCGTATGAACGCTGCAAGATGCGACAGTGTCTGAGAACAACGATCGCTAACAAAACAACTTTGACAACCACTATCTAACACCATATGGCAGTCAGTCTTACCCTGGTACCGATGGACGGGTCGGCCAACCGCCGGAGGAGGTGCGGCACCATCCCGCACTCGACCACATGAGTCTTGGTGCGGTTGCTGCCAATCACCAGGTTCCTCAGACGCCTGAGATTGAGAACACGGGCACAGAAACCAGATGAGACAAGGCCTCGCAGCAGTGACTGTGCTATTACAGTATATCGAATTGCTGTTGCAGTACGTAGCTAATACTCCATACCTACTTCTAAGACATGTTCATTGTTCACAACCTATCAACTGAGTCTGACATTCATTATCCAAAGTACCTAGTTCAAACATCAATTAAGTAGGTAACTTTTATCGTAACAGGTCGCTAGAAACAGTACCTAGTTTGCCTAATTCCCGATTTGATGCAGTTTCAATCTCTCGTTTAACCAGTGAATATTTCCATTCCTATTCACTTACTCTATGGCACCAAAACATTTTTCTTCATCTTCGCTGAAGAAGTCATCCAAAAACTGCCTGTTTCCTTCCACAGCCTGGAAAATGTTCAAAACACCTTTTAAGTTTGAATTTGATACCATGGGAGAAAAACAGGTAGATAGGTACAATGAGGGTGACACAGTAGGTATGTCAGACGATTACCTATGTATCAACATGAAACTGAATATAAATGTGCAAATAATATGCACCAGCAATAGCAAGTGTGTACAATAGGTAGCAGGAAATAGAAGAAAAAACTGTAACTCACCTCAAGCATAATCAATTTGAATTACTACTGGCACTCTTGCACACTGCAGAGTCTAGAATACTTCAGAGACTGTTGTATGTTCTGAAAAAGAAACAAATAAACTTTGGATAATTAGAGCACAAGCCGGCAGGAAGGTCCAGCATAGAATACATTTTTTAATATTAAAATATAATAGGTACAACTTCTATATTTAATTGCGTAGTAACTACGTCGATAGTAGCAAAGATCGTAAAATACGTAAATTTTTACTTTTGTGCAATGCCTGAACTAGTGCAAAAATGAAACCTGCAAGCCTGTAGACAGGGAAAACATACACAGATTTAACATCAACATCACTAACATGACCCCTCGAGGTCACCGGGCACCTGAGGTCATCATATTGGAAACGGCTGATTTAAACGCGCACGGAGAACTAACTGCTAGCGTTTTTGTTCCGATCGGTTCAGTGGTTCCTGAGTTATAGGATGGCACTCCCGACCATTGGCACTCCCGAGGTCACCAAAATCACCTCATGTCGTCATACTTGAAACGGTCCGAAGCCCTATATACCGGTGAAATGGCCGACGAAATTGCGGAGAACGAACTGACTGGATGCTTTTACGCCTCGATCAGTCCAGTAGATACTTGATGATTAATAGGATGGCTAACGGCTGACGAAATTGACCACTGTAATTTGAATGGTATCATTTTCATCTCGATCGACGTTCGTCCCAGTACCAGCAAAGGTCAATGTGCCATCGGTCAGCTCACTGTTCCAGGATGGCTTCGAATTCCGATAGCCCAAAACATCGACCTCACAAAATATCAACCTCAGGGCTCAGGGTCACCAAGGACATAGACCTGAGGTCGCCATATTCGAATGCGCCGATGAAATCCTATTCGTCCTCCCTGTGGTCTAGTGGATAAGGCATCCATCTCATAACCCGGAGGCAGCCACAGCTCGAAATGCGCTGGCGATACGGAGCTGACCGATGGCAATTGGCACATTAACCTTTTCTTCAAGCCGGAACTTGTTTGGGACAATAACCAAATGTTCAGGTCAGGTCAATGACCTCCGATACCATAAGCGAAAATTTGCACGGTCCTAAAATGTCGCAGCACAACGCCATCAGTGCCAGAGAAGCTTTCACAGGGATATGAAGCTTACAGGTCCAAGTTTCTTCCAGAGATCTCACAACTTGTATATCTTGGACTTTTTAAGATCACCTGTTGGTTAGGTTAGTCGCGTGACTTCACAATTATCAGTCAATAGGTAAAGCATCGGAACTGTTACCTTCCTACTTTGGCGCCGAAATTGATTTCATACTACTTCAAACACATGAACTCTTGATTTGATGCACTAGGTACCACCTGCAAGCCCCAATGCCTCACTTACGCATTGTTCACTTTTTATGACTGGTGTTTTTCCCCGTGATGCTCTAGCTCAATTACGGCGAAACAGCGAGGGGCGTTCAACCTCCCTTCCCCTCGAACTATGAAGAACTATGAACTACGAACTATGAACTCCCCTCGTATGAAGAAAACGATAGTTTCGCCGACAGCTGGCATCCGGCCAGATGGGGGGCCACCCCACCCCAGACCCAGAGTATCGCCATCTACCCGCGATACGTTTAGGTAACGCTCGATCAAAAATGACATTTACATGTAGGCCCCAAGACTGGGACGCAAGACTCAGTGTATCAATATCCTATTGCACCACTGCTTCGTAGTTCGTACGAGAGGTCACCCAGACCTTCGATGCGTTTGGTCCATCGCCTTTGTACTGTACACGCTCAAGTTTCCGTAAGTCCTCCACATACCCGGTGTGCCAGAGACAGGAGCCGTACTCCAAGATGGGTCGGATATGGGTTGTTAGAAGGAAGAGCATAATTATAATTATTAGAGCAACTCTGATTCCAACTCAAACTCCGACTCCAGGCAGAACTGTCGACTCCGACCGACTCTGACTCTGATTCTGCAGCCCTGGTTTTAAAGCTTGGTAAAGTGGGACCATCAAACAAACTAGATTGAGATACTGATACCTAGGTATTAGAATGACACAGACACGGTATATACCTACATCAACATAGAGAACCGACAGAGGTATTTCAAGTTAAATCAATGAATCGATCAGGTCAGATAAGACTTTCAGCATAATTATCCAGTGTTTCAAAAGTACACACTATGTTATTTAATGCTATTTAGCAATTCCCGATACCTCCCAGCCACGACGACAATTTACACACAAAACGCACAAAACAGCACAACAGCAGAGCTGCAACAGCAGCACACCCTTCCTCCCACGGTGACTATAAATACCTTCCTCCTTTTTGTTTTTCCGTTCTACTAAAGCTGTATAAATTGGTTCTATGTCGTCACAGCTTTCACCATTAAAAACGACGTCCGATTGGGCTATATCATGATACCTCACTTTTTAATAATGCAAATATTTTATAGGTTCAACGATTTTTTCGATACTAATTTTTTCATCTTATTTGAAAATCATCCCTTTGAGAGGATTTCAAACATGTTTTTGAAATATTTATCGATTACGAAAGTGTTTCTGTTACGTCATATAATCTTAGCATTCCTAAAAGCTACGCCACATTTGACACACCTGCGCAAGGAATGTTTATTGTGGTTCTTAGGACAAATGTTTTGCATTTCATTGGTTTGTCCCACGGTATATATACCGGGGTTACATGAGCGATCCGTTCCAAATACGCACTACGCTAATGCGCATCAGCTCCCCACAAACGGATCTACGGCACCGGTTACATGAGACTAATTCGTTTTATCTACGTCAAACGGATCTTGTTTGGCTCACCCGGGCTGACTCCTCGACGGCCGGTAATTCGTATCACAAACGGAATAGGATTAGCGTACAGTCATGGCGCAGTTGCGGCATTTACCGGGACGACTGAGCTAAATTTTAAATACTTATATCAATTGATAGGCTCAAAAACATTTAAAATTAACATGAAATCAAAAAATGAAAACAAAGTTTTCTTGTTTCAAGTCAGTGGGCACTGATTCGCCATGCAGCGACAGCAGGGTGGTCAGAAAAATTATCTATAAAAATATTTCATTCATTTTATTTCACATGCAAAGACTAAACCAAAATACCAACATTTTTTTTGCTATTTTCTACGAGGCAGCCAATAAAAAATGCTTAGTATTTTGCATTTTGACGCTTCCAGTCAGCAAAGAATAGTCCTTGTGAAATACGGCCCGAATCGTGTGCCTCGGACGTTTCGGTTACATGAGCGATCCGTTCCAAATACGCACTACGCTAATTCGAATCAGCTCCCCAAGAACGCATTCAGTGCACCGACTACATGAGCAAATTCGTATCAGTGACGTCAAACGGATCTAGTTTGGCTCTCGGCCCGCGTATATATCTTTCCCGAGCGAAAAAACAAACATTCCAGTTTTTTGGCGCTTTTGTTTCAATTGTGGTGGTTCTGTTCGAAGGCTCATACAGATGGTGTTTGCGCAAAATTTCTTACGGGAAATCACCGACTATTTAGTGTCGACAGCTGCATATTACCTTTTTGAACACGCCTCCATCACTGCTTGTTTATTGGCTGTCTGTTGTATTGGGCTGTGTTGCTGTATAGTGTATATACCGTGTGTTTTGCTGGGTGATTGTGATAATATTTTGATGATTAACCTTTTTATTCAGCGGTAGATAATCTAAAAATCCCAGGGGGTGCTACAAACCCCTAATTATCCACCCCTGTTTTTTTATTTTAAGTTCCATCCAGTACCAGTATGAGTGTTTATGGCAATGGAAGGTAGGTGAAACATTTCATTATTGTAATTTTAATCTTTTGAGACATGAATTTCAACATTCTCTTGAGAGCCTGAGAGCATTCATGCCAAGGTTTCTGAGTCTGTTTCATGATAAAGAGACAATATTTATAATGGAGTCAACTTGTGGGTCAAGTCAGCAGAACTTGAACTTGATAAATGAGTACCTATGACATCACCTCTACACCTGTCGCCTCCTGTATTGTAGTGATGGCAGGTTCAATGCTGAGTCTCAGAATAATAGCCAGCGAGCGTATACTGTTGTTTTGTATTTCTATGCCCGATCGGCCCCAATGTCTTGCATTTCTAAATATTGAACTGTAATGAATGAGACGCTGTAATGAGGTACTGTAATGAAAAGACTGCCTCAGACTGCAAGGTTCTATTTAACCAAATATGACTGCATGTCTGCTACAGAATGAAACACTGACAAACACTGACACTGACATCAGGCACTGACAAAGTGAATGCACAAGAACGATAAGGACTTCTGGACTTCAGAGCAAGAGATACACCTGACGCTCAGGAACGCTGCTGTCACCACATATAGCATACAGCACCCGGTCGTGCCCATCATTAGCCTACAAGCCCCACCAGACGCTAACCGGCCACGATTTTCTGCATCGATTTTCTGCATCCCCTGCATCGTTCATCACAGATGGCTATAATTAGGATCTGAATGCCAAAATTCATGGGTAGGAAGTTGCTTTCAAGCACTGTCCAGCTCTCAAATGGGCGATAGCCACAACGCCCCCTGCAGTCGCACTAGTCTTAAAATTGATACATCCACTCTACTTACAGGCACGGTGTATATTCAACCCAAAATGCACATAAATATCACAACAAAACAAACCTATTCCCTGCATGACCATGTGAGTAGCACTCCCCGCTAGCTGCGCTTCAGTTTATCCCCGACCCGCTCCCTGACCGCCTGGAGGAGGCGGAGCTCGCTGTACACCGCCGCGGCCACCACGGCGGCCCCACAGAGCGCGCCCACAGCCACATGGGCGGCGGCGGAGCTGGGGTACAGCCAGCTCTCGGAGCCGGCTGCCAGCAGGCCGGCGGTCACCAGCGCGGCAGCCACGGCGGGCGGCGGGCGGAGACCGAGTAGCGGCGGCACGGACACCGCCGGCTCCAGCGGCAGACCGGCCACGAACCGGTAACTGGCGACACACGGGCGGGGACAGGGTGAGAGAGGTACGGGACACTGTATCGGGCATCAGCGACACACGGGGTGGGGACAGGGTGAAAGGGGTACGGGACACTGCATCAAGCGCCAGCAACACACTGGACGGGGCGAGCGGGCAGCAGCAGCAGAAAATGGGACGAAGACATGATGGTTGAGAGTGGCACGGGGCACTGTATCGGGAACCAGCAGCATACGGGGAGGGGACGGGATGACAATTGAGAGGGGTGCAGGACACTATTGGGGACAGCAGACATTCGTATCAGTCGTGGACGGGTGAAGTAACGAGATCCAAGTATATCGAGATCGGCGATAAAGCGTGATATTGACTATCCATGACAGATTGGATAATGATGTAAATAATTAGACCAATTAGGACAAATCAAATCTATTCAAAAACACAAAAACTCACCAAACGTATATCCTGGTCAGCATATTGACGCAGTTGGCGAGGATAAATCCAACCCCGCCGAATAGCCTAGTAAAGATCCCTGTCGAGATGACGAATATCACAGATAGCAGCACCATCTTCCGGTTATACCTGAAACACCGGAAAACGCCACAACACCTGTCAAAGCGCCCGATAGTAGCGTTCCTAGCTTCACTTTATCGACACAACTGGCCAGCCTTTCTACTTCGCCTTTAGCCGCAAAAGGCAGTCTAACAACAAAAACCAACATGAGAACGTCATTTCCTAATCCGCTCAGCCTCTACCGACTAATTTACCTCACTCCTTACTAAGCCACCGACCATTTCCCGACTGCTTTCCATAAACCCTCCACGGCACTTACCCATTGATCTGTTCCTGGCGCATCACCGCGAACGTGTAGCACTCCAGCACTCCGTTCACCGCCAGTAGGAGCACGTAGGCGCACTGGGCGCGCAGCAAACTGACGGCCGGACCGGCGGCCAGCAGGGCGCCGCCGTACAGCCGCAGCAGCAGGGGGGGGGGGTAGCTCCAGCCGAACGTGACGGCAACCAGACCGAGCAGGCTCATGGCGCGCAGCAGGTCGTGCAGAACCCGGCCCGCCGCGGCAGACACCGGCTGCAGGGAGAGGGGGTAGGGTCAGACTCATAGCGCGGAGTAGGTCGTGTAGCACCCGGCCCGGCCCGCCACCGCAGACACCGGCTGGAGGGGGAGGGAGCTGTCAGGCACCGGCTGGAGGAGAGGTGCCAAACTGTCCCCTTCCAGTGACTGGCGAGAAGGGGAGAGATGGCCAGAAGGATAGAAGCTGGGCAATAAAACAAACCGAATGACAAAAAAGACACCAAGATGAAGATCACAACGACTGGCAGTAAGGACTTATAGCGGAGATGAAGAGTAGCTACGAGTATAATTGGCTAATATCAGAGGAGTGTGTGCTTACAGCTTTTTCGGCGCCTTACCGGGCATCGACACACTGTGGTCAACGTTACTGATATTTTCACCAAATGCCACTACTCCTCAGTAAAAAAAAACACAAAAAAAAACTAACATCAATCACCTCCTACCACACAATCAGCCACGTTGCCACCTACCTTTCCCCGTTCCACTGTGCGCGAGAAGTAGACGTAGGCGTTCTTCTCGACTGGCTGAAAGAGGAAGCGGGCCGCCAGGCTGCCCAGGTTGGCCACCACGTCGTACAGGCCCTGCTCGGAGAAGTCGAGCAGGTGGAAGGCGGTCATCAGGTAGCGCTCGCCCTCCGTCAGCAACTGCTTCAGCATTTTTCAGCAAATTCAGAGCAAAATTCAGCAAAATTAGCATTTTTCTTATGGAGTACACACTACAGTTCTGGTGAGAAAATAGCATATGTTCTACTTAGGAACTCAGACATTGGATGCATCACTGATGCATGATAGGAAAAAAGTAAAGGGTGCATACCTGACATTGATGATGCCCAGCACATCAGATGTAATATACCGGAGAATGACTGCATTTGTGATGAATGTGAACACTCAGTAGGTTATCTGAAAGACATTTGTAGGTATAGCTTCAGCATCAATATGTGCAACACAGACCATGCTATTCTGGGCCCTGTTTCACCGGTGATGGCAGCACGCTGCTATCACACGTGTCAAATTGGGTTTCCACGGAAACATCAGCAAACCATGACGCCGTCAATCTGTGTGATGTCATCAAACATTGCTGCCAACAGCTTCACGGTCGTGCGATCAAACACATCGCATTCAACGAAACAGCAACTCTGTTCCAAACGCAGCTCACAGATTACACGAAACGTCATAAGTGTGACCTCATCACATTACGTCAGCTCGCGCAATTTGATAGTAGCATGCTGCTATCAACGGTGAAACAGGGCCCTGGTC